GCAATAAGGAAAAGAAAAGAAGACAAGGCATCCAAATTGGAAAAGAGGAAGTCATGTTGTCTCTGTTTGCTGATGATACGATCTTATGTCTTGAAAACCCTAAAAACGTCACCAAAAAAAACTCTTAAATTTAATAACTAAATTCAGTAATGCATCAGGATATGAAATGAACATACAGAAATTAGTAGCGTTTTTATATACCAATAGCAATCTAGCCAAAAACCAAATCAAGAGACCCCATTTACAATAGCTGCAAAAAAAAAAAATACTTAGGAATATAATTAACAAAGGAGATGAACAATGTCTACAGGGAAAACTACAAAACAACAATGAAAGAAATTTTATATGACACAAGCAAATGGAAAAATATTCCATGCTCATGGACCACAAGAATGAATATCATTAAAGTTATCATGCTGCCTAAAGCAATTTACAGCTTCAATGCAATCCCTAACAAAATACCACAGTCATTTTTCACAGAATTAGAAAAAAACAATTCTAAAGTCCATATGAGACAAAAAGTAGTCCAAATAAACAAAGCAATCTTGAGCAAAAAGAAGAAAGTTGGAGACGTCATATTGCCTAACTTCAAATTATACTATAAGGCAATAGCAGTCCAAACAGCATAGTACTGATATAAAAATAGACACATAGATCAATAGAATAGAATAGAGAACCCAGAAATAAAGCCACATACTTACAGCCAACTGATCTTTGACAAAGTTGACAAGAATATACTCTGGGGAAAGGATACCCTTTTCAATACATGGTGCTGGGAAAATTGGATTGTCATATATATGCAAAAGAATGAAATTGGACACCTATCTCTCATCATATATAAAAATCAACTCAAAATGGATTAAAAACTTTGGATGTAAGACCTAAAACTATAAAAACAGTAGAAGACTTGGGGAAAACTCTTCTGGACATTGATCTAGACAAAGGATTCATGACCAAGACCACAAAAATACAGGCAACAAAAACAAAATGGGACTTCATTAAACAATAAACCTCTGCAAAAGAAAGAATCATCAGAGTGAACAGACAACCTATAGAATGGGAAAAAGTATTTGCAAACTATATATATCTGACAGGGGACTAACATCCAGAATTTATAAGATACTCAACAACAACAAAACCATACAATTAACCTCATTATAAGTGGGCTAAGGATATGAATAGACATTTTTCAAAAGAAAAATAAATGGCCAACAAGCATATAAAAAATTTTCAATATCATTAATCATCAGAGAAATGCAAATTATTATAAAACCACTATGAGATATCTTCTTACACCAGAGTGGCTATTTTTAAAAAGACAAAAACTAACAAATGTTTATGGGGATGTGGAGAAAAGGGAACACTTTTACATTGTATATGGGAATGTAAATTAGTGCAACCTCTATGGAAAACAGTATGGAGACTTCTCAAAGAACTAAAAATAGAACAATCATATAATCCAGTAATCCCATTCCTGGATATCTAACCCAAAGGAAAAGAAATCAATATATAAAAAGAATACCTGCACTTACATGTTTATCACAGCACTATTCACAATAGCAAAGATATGAAATCAACCTAGGTGTCCATCAACGGAGAATTAGATAAATAAACTGTGATATTTACACAAAATGGAATACTATTCAGCTGTAAAAAAGAATGAAATCATATCTTTATAGAAACATGGATGGAACAGAAGACCATAATCTTACATGAAATAACTCAGCTACTGAAAGACAAATATCACATGTTCTCATGTATAAAAGGAAGTTAAATAATGTGTACATATTGAAGGATAGACATTGGAGACACAGAGGGGTGGAGGGAGTAGATGATGAGAGGTTGCTTGGCTGATACAAGGTGTGTTGCTTCAATGATGTATACACTTAAGGCCCTGACTTCACCACAATGCAATATATTGATGTAACAAAATTGCACTTTGTATCTCATGAATACATACAAATAAAAAATAAATGGGAAAAATAGTTTCTACTGTTAGTCAAATAAAGGAAGCTCTGAGATTGGAAAAAGTAAAAAATAAATAAGTCACTAGCCTGACCCTTTAAGATGCTCCTACCATGAAATCTTCCCCCTGCAGTTGTGCTCTGAAGTGTTCTATCTGCCCATTGCTTTTTAGTATCTTTAGAATAGGTTTGGATATAATTTTTCCAGTGGCCATTCCATTCCACACTCAGGCTCTTTGTCAGTGTCTTTCTCTTCTGGGTCTTCACTTGAAGTTTTTCTCAGTCTACCTGTGCTCGCTGGGATGAAGTAGAAGCCATTGGGACTGGGGCACTGGTATTTGTTTATTTTTCTTTTTAATCAAGTTATTTTCTTGTTTCTGCATTATCTATCTTCAAGTAATAATGAGAGTTTAGTTGTGCATAGACATTTCATAGATGCATAATTATTTTACATGGTTTGGGAAGGCGATTTGGGGAGGGCATTTATTTATTACACTGCCTCTGTTATCTACAGCTACCAGGAAATATTCTGTATGTTTGTGGATTCAACAAAAATTTATTCATGATCCTGGCTCATCACAGATGCTTTTCCTGTCCCAGCAATAGAACATCCATCCATATTCAAGCACAATTATTGCGACAATTCCTCCTTTTTGTGGATTCCTACAATATGTTGGAGCAAGTATTATACGAGATACTTTATATCTAAATTTTTATTGACTCCTCAAAATAATATTGCTAAGTAGGTTTGATAATCTTCATTTTAACAATAAAAAAACTGCAGCACAGAGGAAACTAGAAAAAATTGCCCAAGCTCTTCAACTGGCAAACGACAGGGCTGAGACTTAAAGTGTATCTTTCTTACTCCAATGCCCATGCAATTCAAACCAATTTATCAATTTACTTTCCCAACAGTTAGTGGGTAGATTTAGTCTGTGGATAAGGCCCTGGGTAAATATTCATATGGAAGTTTCACATCAGTTCTGTAAATCACCACCTCCTGGTCAGTGTATTCTCTCTCTTATAATAAAAGAGAGCAACTCTGACAAACTTGACCCTGAGGCACTCTTATCAAGTCTGAGTCAAAAGAGGGGAACTCTATCATGTAACCTTGGGTTATCATGTAAACTTGGGTTCAGTAAAAACACAGAAAAAAGTGACAAATCAGTTAATGTGTTCTATTTGCCAGTTCAGTTTTACAAATTTAAAAAATTTAAACTTTTATTTAAAAATAATATAGATTTGATTATAAATCAGTAAGATATATTATTGTAAATGTAATGAAACTAGATTAGATAGGATAACAACAAAAAAGCCATACCAGTGTAATATTTGTTTCCTAATTTCTCAGTGATTTTTTGGTAGCTTAATACAATCTCTTTGACCCTAAACATTTTAAACATTAATGAATTGAAAAACCAAGAATTATTAATTGAGCAAAATAATCACTGTATTACTTTGAATTTTAAATTAGGAATGCGTAAACAAAATCTTAAACTTAGGTTAAAAACATCAGAAATAATAAAACCACATGATTATGATCATATTAATTTTTTGAAATTACTGGTTGTCAAGGTAGAGCTGTTCATTTTTAATTCATTAATCATTTCCAGAAGTTTTGAATTAAGCATTTCAAGAACTGTTTCAAAAACCTTTACAATTGTGCCAAAACCTCTAGAATTAGCTTCCCTGTAACTTCCATCTTCATGAAATTTTTCTGTACAAAGTTAACCTGTAAAAGATATAAAATTGCTACAGTAAACTCCTACAAATTTTGTGAGTAACATTTGGCAATATATGACTCATCTCTTTTACTTCATTTCCTTTATACTAATTTAGTGATAAAATCATAAATTATACTAAGAAAAGTAAGTATTGCATGTCATTAGTTGCATTATTATCAATACCATCTGACAATATTTGACCTGCCAATTTTATTTCATGTCCTTTCTATAAATTCAGTGGTAAAATCATAAATTATGCAAGAAAAGTATACAGGAAATGTCATTTTTAAATGATTGGCAATAACTTATAACAATAACTAATGTTATTGATTACGGTAAATTGATGAAATGAAACACTATACATCTATTAAACAGAATGAATTGGGGCAACTCATTTTGTGGGAAAAATCTCCAAGAAAATTTCCAGAGTGAAAGAGACTTGGTCTCTTACTCATTGTGTGAAGGGAAGCTGTCTTTCTGACTGACAATGCTGTACTACAGCCATTACTAGAGTATGAACAACTTCAATTGCACGAAGTCTCTAAAATGTTTGGATGTTTTGGTTACTCTAATTTTTAAAAAACATATATTTAATTTATTTATGTTTAATTTGCTTCATTTGTATCTTTCAGATCCAATGCTTTATAAAAAACTAATAATTATAATTATGTTTTAACTTTGGCTCAATGCTTCAATGCATATATGGAAAATGGGATGACATGGTAACTTTCAAACTTGTAATTATAGAATCCTATTTTCACTCTGCTAGCAGATCTAGCAGATCTGGCATTTGAAGGGTTGGAGCAAAAGGCTTGATTTATGACTAATAGTATTGGATCGAGGGAACTCAGATAAGTCAAATTACTAGTAATTTCATTAATCATGGCAGGTTTTCTTTTGGAATTTATTTTCTTTAAAGTTAAAAGCAGAGTGGAAATTTCTTTTTAAAAGATCTGATAAGCAAAATAAGGATTATATGTGAGTGCATAGAACAAAAACTGTGCTTCAGTTGGTTTTCCAACTTCAGGGTTCAATATGGACTCCAGATGAAAGGACAGGCCATTATATGGACTCCAGATGAAATGACAGGCCATTAGCAGAAGGAACAAAACATATGTGCATTAAATGGTCCCGCATATAGCAAGAGAGATCGTTGCTAAAGGAATGGAATGTATGTGCACAAGAAATCATAACTTTCTTTTTGGAGTGTTATAATGTCTATATCTCTGATTTACTGTTATTTTTTTCCTCTCTCTGTTCAATCCAATATTGATTTTTAATTAAGTATTCTTTTAAGATTCTTACCTGTAAGTTATTCTGCTTTGGGAAGTATATTTAGAATAAACAGGACCACATTTTGAAAATTAGTAAAGTCACTGATGAAAGGGACTACATCAGTATTAAGAAGGATTCGTGGTGGCAGGCCCTTCTGCAAGTTGTATGTGTTGGTCAAGGTGGTAGGAAGGAGCGATGCAGCTATATATCTCACAGCTATGACCCATTTTCTCTCAAAACGTGCTTCTGGTTTAGAATAATAATCATATCTAAAAGAACAGGAAGAGAGCAACAAAATTTTAGAAGCTGAAAGTTGAAAAGAACTAGTTGGAAAGATATAATAGAGTCAAGAAAACTAAATCCTAAGCAACCAGAAAGGAAAACAGAGAAATAAGGCTAATATAATTTGTAGAATTCTCCTCAATTTAAAACTGAGTGTTAGGCCCCGCGCGGTGGCTCACGCCTGTAATCCTAGCTCTCTGGGAGGCCGAGGCGGGTGGATCATTTGAGCTCAGGAGTTCGAGACCAGCCTGAGCAAGAGCGAGACCCCATCTCTACTATAAATTGAAAGAAATTAATTGGCCAACTAATATATAGAGAGAAACTTAGCCGGGCATGGTGGTACATGCCTGTAGTCCCAGCTACTCAGGAGGCTGAGGCAGAAGGATCACTTGAGCCCAGGAGTTTGAGGTTGCTGTGAGCTAGGCTGACGCCATGGCACTCACTCTAGCCTGGGCAACAAAGTGAGACTCTGTCTCAAAAAAAAAAAAACTGAGTGTTACCCTCTGGGTAAAGGGATATTGCTAAAATGAGGATCATTAAAAGTCTGTTAAAGGAGTAATAATATACAAAAATTCCCTTCCAGACCTCAAATAGTGTGTAACTGCCACTCCTCACACTGGAAAGGGTAGAGCACAGGGTACCTGAACTGTGTAAACTAATCATGGTTGATGGTAGAGACCGCCTTGGAAACAAGGGATATAAGTGAATATGGTATACTAAGGCACACTCCTCTTTCCTTCCTTCTCTCTCTTGACATTAATAATACTAGCAGCCAGCCCTTCACTTTTGAGGCAGATAAAGTGTCTCTTCTGGAAAACCAGGTAAGCTCAAGAGAAAAGACTTAAAGTTATTGGCACCATAGTGTCAATACTTAAAAGACCTAAACAACCCAGCAAGATTACTCTAGAGGTGTGTTCTTAGAAAGATTCCACTCAAGCACTTCAGAGCTTCTGAATGATCCTTCTTATATGATATGAGTAGACATCCAGGTATTACCAGATACCTGCAAAAAGCCTCTAACACGGATAAGAGACACGAAAAAAAATAACAAGCAGAAAAAAAATTGAGAAAAACAAGTTATACATGTTTACAAAGGATCAGGAATCTGACTGGTTTCAGACTTCTCACAAGTAAAAGTGAAACTAAAAATTAATGAAGAAATTACTTTAAAATTCTAAAAATTACCAGCCTAGATTTCCATATTCACTTCAAAGCTCAGTCAAAAATAATAGTAGATAAAAATATATTCACATATGCAAAGTCTCAAACAATTTTATCTATCATATATCTATTCAGAATCTGCTGGAGGCTGTGCCCTACCAAAATAAAGTATATGAAGAAATATCATGGGTTCATCTAGATCCAAGGAGTCTAGAGCTCCTCCATCTGGAACTCCAACCAATTTCATGTATAAGGTCTAAAGACCCAGATTCTGTGCTTTTCTAGGGAAATGGGTGAAGCTTATCAAAGGTGACTTAGAGTTGAAGTAGCCACGGTGGGGAAACTCCTTACAAAAAGCAAACAGTTGCATGTCTTTATAGCTACAGCAGCTGCAGAAGATCTACTGTACATAATTTTGAACCTAAACCAAGGGGTCTCAAACTAAAGAAGTTGACTATCAGGGTGCCTCCAGAATAGCCCTGTGTCATACAGACTGTCCTGCTGCAACCAGAAGCCTCTGAACCTGCTCCCATTCCTGAAGAAATACTTCAAGAGGTGAGTCCAGAGGCATGGGGAAGTGGGAGACCAGGAAGGGTTAAAACCACCATTCCTGTGCAAGTGAAGGTACTGGCAGGAATGGCACCACCACATTTAAAGCAATACCCCTTTAGGGAAGAGGAATGACAGGGATTCCAGTCTATGTTGTCTTTTTTTTTTTTTTTTTTTTTTTGGTTTGAACTTATTAGACCTTGCCAGTCCCCATACAACACACCCATCCTGCTGGTTCTGAAGCCTGGGACTAAAAAATATAGATTTGTTCAGGACCCAAAAGCCATTAACCAAATTGAAGAAGACATTCACCTGGTGGTCCCCAATCCTTAAATGCTACTCACAACTCTGGTGAACTTTGTTGATTCACAGTCTTAGGTCTAATAGATGCTTTCTTCTGCAACCTTCTGAGCTCAGAATCACAAGAAGTGCTTGCTTTTGAATGGGAGAACCCAGGAAGCCAGATACAAAAGCAAAGCAACAATACTGTTGGACAGTTCTTCCCCAGGGTTTCAAGAGCTCCTCTATTATCTTCAGGGAAATCCTTGCTAAAGACCTCTGAGACCTCCCATTGGATTTTACTGCAATATGTCAATGACATATTAGCTGCTAGTGTGACAAAAGAGACACCTGGGCTGGGCACGGTGGCTCACGTCTGTAATCCTAGCACTCTAGGAGGCCGAGATGGGCGGGTTGCTGGAGGTCAGGAGTTCAAAACCAGCCTGAGCAAGAGTGAGACCCCGTCTCTACTATAAATAGAAAGGAATTAATTGGCCAAGTAATATATATATAGAAAAAATCAGCCTGGCATGGTGGCACATGCCTGTAGTCCCAGCTACTCATGAGGCTGAGGCAGCAGGATGGCTTGGGCCCAGGAGTTTGAGGTTGCTGTGAGCTAGGCTGATGCCAGGGCACTCACTCTAGCCTGGGCAACAAAGCAAGACTCTGTCTCAAAAAATTAAAAAAATAAAAAAGAGACACCTGATCAGAACCTATGTTAACTCTCAATTTCCTGGCTGAATGTGGGTACAAAAAAAAAAAAAAAGCTCAAGTTTCACAATTAATATTTAGAGTACGAGCTTTCCCAAGGACATAGGAACCTGCTAGGGAGGTTGGCCCTCACCAGACCCATCACTTGGCAACAGATGTGGGACTTCTTAGCATAGCTGGATTCTGCCATATATGGATTCCTAACTTTGGTCTATTGAGAAGCCCTAGATGATTCCTTAAAGGGAGAAGATAAGGAAGCTTTAAAATGGTCTGGGGACTGTCAAAAGACCTTTTTAAATATCAAGGAAAAGCTGTTAATTGCTCCAGCATTGGGGCTCCCAGTTATGAGAAATCCTTTCAATCTTTTTGTACATGAGAGAAAAAGAATAAATCTGGAAGTGTTAACTCAGGGTTCGGGAAATATTAAGAGATCTGTAGCTTATTGTTCAAAACAATTGGACATTGTTACAAAGGGATGGCCTTTTTGCCTTAGAGCTTTTGCCACCACTTGTGGCCTGCTTCAGGAAGCAGAAAAGTTGACGTTAGGCCAGCCTGCACCACCTGCCCACACACCTTGCTGTGCACTTCCCTTGCTGGAACAAAAAGGAGGATACTGGCTGACCTCTGGGAGGCTTGGCAGATAAATGCCATCCAAATGTAACATTGAGAACAGTCTCTACTTTAAACCCTGCCACCTTACTTTCTCAAATGCCATGTGAATCTGTGCATGACTGTTTAAAATAATTGAACAAGTTTATTCTAGCCAACCAGATCTGACAGAATACCCTTAGACAGCTGGGACTGAGAGATGTTTACTGATGGAAGCAGTTTTATGGATCAGGGACAGTGGAGAGCTGGGTTTGCTGTGGTGACTCATCAACAAACATTAGAAGCTGAGGGGCTTCTCCCGGTACCTCAACACAGAAGGCGAAACCAGTAGCCCTTATTAGGGCACCCCAGCTAGGTAAAGGAGCACGAGTGACCATTTATGTTTCACATTTTCTGTTGGTCATGCTCATGGGGGCCATCTGGAGTAAAAGGGAACTCCTAACCTCTGGTGATAAAGAAATAAAACCTACTCAAAAAAAAAAATCCCAGCCTTGCTAGTTGCCATTTTAGCCCCCCCAAGGAAGTAGCTATATATAGGACATTGCCTCGACATCAGCAGACAGTCTGGTGGCAAAAGGTAATCATCAGGCAGATGGGGTCACAGAGAAAACAGCAAGAAAAAATGTCCTCAAGACTTTGTTAATAAACTTAATGCCTAAAATAGATCTTGGCCCTAAATTTCCCATATACTCAGAGAAGGACCTAAAAGGAACACTCAATTGAGTGTTTGATCCTAACCCACAGGACTCAGGATGGGTGGAAATATAATGAGGTAGGAGTAATTCTGGTACTCAATTATCTCATAAATGATATTATTAAATATATTCATGACTCCACGCACTAATGGAAGGCATGCTACCCTACAATAGATACAAAAATGTATTGTTGGTCCACATATGAAAACAACCACTCAGAAAATTATTTTTAAAAGTCTCCTCTGTACTCAGAACAACTCTAATACTAGCACGGCCGCCTCCACACAAGGAGTTCAGGCCAAGGGTGAAGGGCTGACAGAAGGTAGGTAAATTGATTTCACTGTGATGCTAAGAGTAGCAGAAAATTTCAAATATCTACTCATTTTTGTGGTTACCTTCTCAGGCTGGGTTGAGGCCTTTCCCTGCCAGATAGAAAGAGGTTTTGAAGCCATCAAGGCCTTAATAAAAGAAATTCTTCTTCAGTTTAGTGTACTGGTTTCTATTCAGAGTGACGATGGCACTGCAGATCACACAGGATGTGTCCCAAGCCCTTGGCACAACTTGGAATCTACAAACAGCCTGGAGACTACAGTCCACCAGAAAAAAAAAAAAAAAAACTGAAAAGATGAATCATACTATAAAGAAAATTGTATCTAAAATCTGCCAAGAAACTAATCTGACCTGGGATAAGACACTGCCTATAGCTCTACTTAGAGTTAGAGTGGCTCCTAGGAGTGGGCTCAAGTGAAACCCTTTTGAAATTCTATGTGGGAGACCCTTCCTGTGTCCTGGCTCTAAAATATGAGACCCCAAACAGCTTACTTGTTAAATAATTTGATATCATTAAATATATACGATCTATAGGTCTGACTGTAACTGCTACTCATGTGGTTCCTGGTGGACATTACACTACATCGCATCCGGCCTGGCGATTGGGTACTGCTGAAGACCTGGAGAAATCAACATCCTGATGACCAACTAAGAAGGCCCCAGGGGAAGGGGCCCTGTGAAGTCTCGCTGATGACCAACTCCTCTGTCAAACTGTGGGAGTCAAGCCCTGGATTCACCATAGTCGAATGAAGCCAGCCCCACCTGATTCCTTGCCAAGCAGGAAAAAACAAGAAACAACTTTGGGCTCTCAGGAGTAGACAAGTGAGTCCCTATCATATCTTAAATATCTCTTCAAGAAAAATCCTGGATAAGTAATTTTTTTTTTACCTTTTAATAAAATGATAAATGATATCCCCTCCTGATTATAACCATTATTTTGAGCACCATAGGAATCTTTACCATCCTCACTGCTTTGTGCAGAAAGATGGGATACCTGCCCCCACATTTCATTCCCTACCAGATGTATATTCCATACACTTATTTTATTATTACTTTTATTAGTATTATTGTTAGAATTGCTTGCATTCTAAACATCTTGTGTCACGCAGGAATAGTTTCTTGCCTCCCTTTATTTAGATACTCCTAGCACTTAGGCTTATCAAGAATGCCACTTTTTATTATTGTGACGTTAGTCACCCTTTTGCTCTTACTTCTCTTATCACATGACCTAGGATAACAGGACAATGCTATAGTCAAACTATTTCAGAGTATTGCTGCAGGGGGAAATCTGTCAGACTGTTAGATTTGCCAAGGCCTCCCCTGGTCTATCTGAGATAGACTGTTACAACTGGTAATACCTGTAGCAGATTTTTAAGACTTTCCCAATGCCACCATGTATCCATATCAGCCCTTCTCTCTGTTTACTTTCCAAGTTCAATTAGTCATACACCTACCCCTTGTTTCAACCTATGCCATGTTCTTAAAATTGGATGGTCACACTGAACCACAGGACCCCAACAGTCCTTGAACTGTTGGATTAATAGATGTAACCTGGAACAAGTTCAGAATCAGATTAGGAATAAGTCCTTGTTAGGTCAACAGATCATACATTTGAGATATCATGTAAATGGATTTTGGAGAGCCTGTATGAAACAAATTACAACCCAACTTAAGAGTATATGTCCTGTAACAAATAGCTGAGTCTCAGCCAAACACAGCAGCTAAGCTTCAGCCAATCATAGGCTGCCAACTGGTCAGACCATATTCACATAAATCAAATGCTGAGCTTTAACCAATCAAGGTGGTTTCTATATGTCACTTTCTTTTTCTTTCTATAAATAAACGAACTGCTCACATTGCTAAGTGGAGCTCTCTGAACCTCTACTAATTTAGGGTGATGCCTGATTCATGAATCATTTTTTGCTCAAAATCTCCTAAATTCAAATTTTAATTTGTTTAAAGTTTTTTTAATAATATCTATGATCAAAATAATAAATGTCATCCACACATTTATTATATTGTATTTTGTTTTATGCAATTAGAGAGATGTGTTGGACCTTGCTTGTTTACTTGTTATTTAATGCAAGAATTTTTTCTCAGACTTTTGTTCCCTCTTCATAAAACTTTTTAAGGTTGATCATGCTAAAATATTTACACCTCATCACTATAATCTCCAAAGGTTAGATTTATATTTAATATAAAGATTGAAAAGCACTTTAGAAGAAAAAGGAAAAGGTATAAATAAGACAAAATATTATTTAATAGATTAAGTAGAGATGACTTTAAATCCAATCTCACCTGTCTTCAAAACTTTTGACAGTATTGTCCAAGGTTGAGGTGTGTGCAGCCCATAAATACTTCAGCAGGTCATTAAATTTACTAGAAGGTGACTGCATATACTAAAGAAAAACAAACTTATTAATATTTGAGCAACTGTAACAATTTCTCTCCCTGAAATTCAATCATGTTCAGAATTTCGCAACATTTAAATGACAGTAGAATTTTGTTTCTAAGAATTAATATGTGTAAGACTAACGCTCTATAAAGGACACAAAAATATTTACTATTTTTAATAATAGCACATCCATCTAGAAGAAATGAACTTCAAGTGTCTTCAAAGAATCCATATTTTATACTTATCAGCAGGTCTTTATTTTTGGTTTGTCATTTTTTTTCTATTAACATTGTTAAAATTACCAAAGTATCTTAAGAGTAAGAAGAAAAAAATCTTGTTAGAGCATTTAACTTAATTAAGTCTAAAGTAATAAATTAATAATCTAAACAACTAATAAGTCTATCTTTTCTTTGCTGATTTTAGTCCATGTCTGTGTTTAACCAGTGTAATTTTTTAGTTACATCACTGAATATTTGAATAACACATAATTGTTTTGTTCTATCCATATGTGTTTATTCATTAATTTAACTGAAATGTGTTGATTGTTCTAAAATAAATTTGATAATTATATTTCTTCCAAGATCCCACAATTGACCTAAAATTTCAATTAACCAGACTAGCTTGTTCACCATTCAGCAAAATATCCTGCATGCTGACCATTAGTGTATAATTTATTTGAAGTGAGAAGAATGGATAGGTTTTGTGTTAACTTTGTATTGGAGCAGTGAGTGTTAATAACACACATAATGCCCCACTATAATGGATATTATTACTATATCTTGCATAACAATGTATGTTTTCATACTAAGGAAAATATTATATAATGCACAAAAAAATCCTAAGCAAAAAGTGTTATACAACAAAATAAATTCTTTTGCCATGTCCTAAGACTATAAAGAAAGAACCTGGTAAAAGGCATTCCATTTGTTCATTATCTCAGGGAAGGATGAACGACAGCTAGAAACATCATAACAAAACTTCTTCTCATCCTTGGGTGGTGGCAAAAGCCTAACTTGGTTTGATGATATCCCCATTATGCCAGATTCAACCGCAGCAAGGAAGGGTATTGAAGACAGAAAATAATTTAAATCTGTAAGAACAAAAGCCTTATTATTACACGAGCACTAACAAACATCAGAGGATATTTTTAAGGAAGCCATAAGTCATTAAGGAAAAATTCACAGATCCAGAAACATGTAATAAGAACTAGGCATTAGGAAAAAAAAATATTGACTAAAAATTCCTGAGGATTATATATATGTAACTTTAATGTGTTCTTGTTAATAATCCTATAATTGTAAATATATATTGGTTAAAGAACTTGACTATGATATTTTAAAACAAAAAGTAATTGTAATAGATCTGGCAGTATTCATTTTTCAAAGCATTAAGTAAAAAAGAAAGAAAGCTGTCAGCTTATTCACAGAATGGAAAAAAAAAAAAACTCATTCAGATTTTATTGTGAATTGTATTTTTCCTAAAATACTTTAACATGATTAGAGCTCTAGTAAATAGGTATTTTCTATTTTATATATGTAAGTTTAATTTGTAGCCATGCTATCACTAAGTTCCTGCCTCATTCTATGTCTCCGAAGAAAAAATTTTGGATAAGTTTTGGCAATATATCATTGGATAATTGGGTTGACAGTCAAATAAGACCTTTTTATAAATTTGTTAAAAATTTCTCTCTATAGATTACCTATTCCAGCAGATTCAGACATTATAATTTAGTTAGGTATTAGACTTATACTGAGTCCCACTAGAAATCAGTGATACAGAATATTTCATCATAGACATGCATATATGAATATAGTCCTATGCCCTTGTATGGCAGGCTGATACTCCAAAGTACTAAACCAATCTGAGGATAACAAACTCTGAATTCTAGATCTGTGGCCACCCCTATTTGTGGGTCTTCAAAAATAATGATTAGGGGTAGGATGAAGAAAACACGTAAGGATACATATGATGTGCATCACTCTGAGAATGTGAAATTTAATGTGACCATGTTTCTAATTATTGGGAAATACCTCTAAGGAATTGTGTAAATTAGTTTCATTACCAAAGCATAAAATTAAATTAAAGAATTGGAAAATACCTTCTGGTTATTTTAGCATGAGGTATATGACTAAAACCTTAGATTACTGATTGATAAAATGAATTGCAGTCAGTCTTTATCTCTGACATGTTTATGAGTTTCAGTATTAAACACATCTGGTCTGAGCAAAATGAAACAGCATCATTTTTCTTGGTCTCTCACTTCTAATCCTCGTTCTGCAGACTCGCTGTCACTAGTGGGACCTCCCACTTAATTTCCAGTTTTGGTTCCTTAGAGACTGTCACTCTTTGCAGTTCCTCATTTCAGTCCTTCTTTGAAAAGCTGAATATGTCCTAAGAAATTATTATTGACATAATGGCTGTTAAACCATATAATGTGACATAAAGACCACAAGGTACATGGTGAAGTAGAGTCCTTTTTTAAAAGGAACAGGACTGTTTTTGATTTGTTTCTGTCCTTAAGATTCTAGGTTTGAATGCTTTCTTTTGGGAAAGGTTAATATCTATTTTGCGACTTAAGTCAACTTACCAGCCCACCAACTATCCACAGAGAGGCACAGTTTATCTCCAGATGCATAGCCACAGCTTGTCGTATGGGTTGGATCAGCTAACCTGCCTAGAGAAGAGAGGATGCACAGTTGAATTTATTATGCACATTTTGAAACTGGCTATAATTGTTGCTTAATCAGATACATTTCATTTGCAGATGTAAAACCATTTATTTCTGAAAAACTTGTGTTTGTATTCCCACCCTACTTTATCTTTTATGTTCTACCTCTCAGCCAATTTCTTTTCTTTTCCTTAACAGCTTTATAATTTTCTGCTTATGAATTATATGTCAGATATTTTTTGCTTCTGTAAGTATTAGCTCTTCTACATCTTCCTCTACCTCTTGGTCAAAAGTTATGGAAGCAATACGTATAATGATTAAAAGAGGTAGTTTAAAATCAAACCAAATCCCTGCTCCATAATTTACTAGTTTGACTTCTAAATAACAATGACTTATGCCTTAGTTTCCTCATCTATAAATCAAGGATAATAATATAAACTACATTTTAATGTTTACATTTATGATAATATAAACTACAGTTATGTGAAGTGAGGAAAAGTATCAAGTGTTTCACCTGTAATATATATTATGTAAATATTAGAAAATAATATTTCTTTTCTTTGTCAAATGACATTTCTATTTCTCTCTCTCTCTCTCTCTCTCTCTATCTATCTATCTCTCAATAATTTCTTTATTGGCTGCATTATCAATGGGTGCTGGGAAACAGACACCACTTTCTCATGAGCTTCTTCTGCTAGCCAGAACAAAAATATCTTTCAATGCATGAATATTTTATTCCCAAACATATCTGCTGTCTGTACACTATACAATGCCTATTTCCAAGAAGAAGCAGTCATTTGCAGATCAAGATCCTCGTGAATAAGGTACTGCTCATTTATAACCCCATATCCATGATTGGGTAATCACAATTAAGACTTCAGGAAATTCAAACAAATTTGGCATCACCTTTTGATCTTAGTGTATATCCCTTGACTGTTCTGTTCATCTTGTTGCTTATAAAGGAGTCTGCTACTTAGTAGAAGTTTAGTAAATATTTTTTAAATGCTCTATAGATTATATATGGTGTCTTTTTGTAGTTGGTAACTATGTTTTAGGCCTTACTGAAGTTTCTAATAGAAACAGACAACCCATAAAAGACGGATTTGTGGAGGAGAAAGAGATGTGGAAATATAATGATTATGAGTGAAAAAGAGGGAAAGGTAAAAAATCAATTTTCAAAAACATGCTATGGTGTATACAGAGCCCTATTACCCATTGGTAGATCATTAGAATGAAAAAAAGAGTCATACTTACCTGAACTATATTGCCAGCCATGCTGCAGAGGCAATCCCCATAAAATATTTTGTTCATTTCCTGGTGAGAATTTTTCAAAATACCTGGCTGTCTGGTTCAATAAGATTTTATACAGCCCCATTCTCTCAGGGAATACCCATGGGTCAACAATGTACACCCCATTCTCCACCCTGTAGTCACTGAACTGACCAGGACTCTCCTTCCACAGAGGGGGCTCCATATCTGAGAGAATGGAAGCCCATGCTAGAGAAGCAGAAAAGCAATAAACTAGTATATGAACCCAGCAAGGAAGGAAAGCCATTGTACCAAAGGTGGCGATTGAGATTGTGGCTGGGTATTTATTGGAGAATGGAGGAGGAAGTCATAATACTTTCTTACATCACATCTTATCAATACTTTAAATACTTTTTCTTGGATAGGGTGAAAATACAGAGGAAATGTGAACATTAGCTAACATTCAAGGTAACTGAAATGTGTAATCTATTCAGTGTCAGAATGTGACTACAGGGTTAGGCTTGTCTATAATATATTAGATAAAACTATTTGTCAACAAAAACCTTCCAGATGTTTCCCAGCCTACGCTGTGATTATAAAATATATTGTAAATGGCATTAGGATGCTTTCCTCTCATAAAAATACTTCAACATATTTTATGGAAAATTCTAAATAGTTGAAGGTGAACATACTAGGGTTTGTAATAATGTGTAAAGGTTTACTGAAAAATATGTGTATCCAGTTATAATACAACTTTCTGCTTCAAGAAAGAAGTTTCAGAAATTTCAATTATATCAAATTAGCCCAATTCAATAGCAAAAGCCAGTCTGTTGGGAAAAAATCTGCTAGTTAATTCCCAATATCCATTTTCCATTCTTTATCAGTAAAACGATCTTAGAATTTTAGCTGGGATATGGTCTCACAGAATTAAGGCTAAATTTTCAGTATCCTTTGCACAAAAAACCAACCATGTGACTAAGTGTTGGCCATTGGGACATAAACAGAAATCGTGTTCACAACTTCTGGGATATGTCCTTAAATAAAGGGCACGTGCCACTTGCTCTTCCCTTCTTCCATGTTGTGGCTTGGATTATGGATGTGACGGTTCAATCTTGACCCCTAAGCACAAGGCACTATCTTAGGAGTGACAGAATGTAAAGCTGGAGGTTGTCTGAGTCCCAGCAGACTATGGAGCCATAAGATATCCCTGAATTCCCAAATCTGAATTTTACCTGAGAGAGAAACATCCTGTTTCCTTTTTTCAGCCACTGTTATTTGGGTTGCATTCACATAAAGTCAAAATGCTTGCCTCATTAATAGGTAGTGCACTTGAAATGCTCAATTATTATCATAATTAGATCCATATGCTTCATAGCAGTTCAAGGGCACTGCTCACTCCTGGCATGGTCCAGATTAAATATCTTTCAGCATAATGCAACTCTTTATTTCTTTCATATTATTTACTCAGTAGCCATTTGACCATTAACTATTCAATTTTGGGGGATATATTAATATAAAAGGGAGGTGTTAGGAATTGCTATTGTGTTCTTGATCAAGAACACAAGCATTCTGGATGTCACATTCCATCTTTATAAAAAATAAATACATGAATATGTACTCTAAGATGTTTCTCTAAAATCAAGGATCAGGATCATTCTCAATGGAGAAACCTTAAGAACATTCCCTTTAAAGTCATAAATAAGTTAGTAAAGATAATGAAATTAGGGGTATAAAATTGAGAATGAGAAAGCGGTAGTACAATTTTTTTTGCAGATGATGTGAAAGTATTGAATATTTGGAAAATATAAGAGAATAAACTAGAAGGATAACTACAAAGAAAAAGGAAATTTAGTAAAGAGGATAGGAGCTAACTTAGTATATAGAGGTCAATAGCTTTGTATGTAAAAGCAATTGGAAAATACAACAGTGGAAATACAGTGAAGAAAAGTCCTTATTTTAAGATCAACAAAAGGACCAACATGCTTGGAAATAAGTGTAATCGTGTTAGATCCATTTTGCAGGATTTGTTATTACCTGGAGAACCAAATCAGAACAAACACTCTAAGTATGTCTTTTAATATTTCTGTGTTTCATTTTCCTTAATTATAATGTAGAAATAGTGTTACATGCTTCTAGATCTACTAATTATGACTCCATTTCAAGTCGTCTGAGTTTGACATTTGGATAAGTAATTTGTATTAGATATTGTATAGAAAATATGTGTTGAGGCACATACAAAAACAACATCTCAAACTCCAAAATTTCAATGTGAAATGAATACTTATACCTTAATTTATAAATAAGAAAACTAAGGCTTATCAGGGTTAAGGAATTTCCCCAAAGTTATACATGTTGCAGATGGGAAAGCCTAAATTTCATCCCAAGTCTGCTGGATGTCAAACCAGGGTTCTTGTAGACTATGCTGTATTATGCCACAAACTAATAGCACAAATAATAGTACAGGGAAATTTTAACTTATTTAAGGAAGAAATTGCGTTTAAAAAAGCCAGCATTTTACACATTTCAAGACAGTTTATTCATTTGCCTAGAATGCTGATTGTAAGTGTATATTTAAATAGCCATAATGTTATGGAAACTGCCAAGAAATTAAAGACAGAAGATCTGTAATATCATCTTAACCTTGTCACTAGCAGCATAAACTTGGGGAGTCTAAATTTGCTTCTCTACAAAATGAAAATAATGAAACTATTCTTTTCTATTACACAAAGGAATTGGGAGAAGACAAAATGAGTGAAAGAGTATAAAATAATGCAAAAATCATAATTACAAAAAGCATTTTTATAAGAATCAAGAAACAGCCTTGGGATATGTTTGGTCCACTTCCATATTCTTTTAAATATGTGCTTTGACTTACAAATGATTTGGATATATTCTTGAATTACCTCAGTGCAGTCATCCTTCTCCTCCTTTACCCACCCTCAAAAACAGTAGAGAAGTTTAGATTCTTTTGCATGCAAAACACATAGCTCACAGTCACAAATGAAGAGTGATAATAATAATAAAACTTCTTTAAAATTATCAAAAGGAAAAACTATGTTTAACATTCCTAACACGAAATAAAAATTCTTGGCAAATATCGTAAAATACTTAACTGGCTAACATTTAAGAAGTAGTATTATCTTATAGTTAATTTTTTTGTTGTTGCTTTAGATATATTTATATATGATTTTTAGTATAAGGGTAATTATATTTTTACTGACTAAATATTTTATGTGTATACTTTTTTCTCTGAAATTGTTTTTTGTTTACTCCAATGTAAAAGGATTTTTACATTCTTTCCTATGGTATGAAATATAGAGGGGAATAAAAATAAAGCAAAACACAAAAATGGTATTTCTTTGGAACAAGGATATAGATATACTTGAAAATTATATATTATGAAACATACTTATCAAGTAGTATAAACTACCTGTGAAGACAAAGATATTTGATGAATTCTGATGTAGTTCAGGTAAACAATCAACTTCTTGAAAGGTCTCTAGAGTCACAGTATGGAATATAACTAAAGATACAATTTAAAATACAAGAAGTACAGAAGACAAGAAGTTGAGAGATAAATCAGGCCAACATGTGACTCTGATTATCTGTTATCATTCTCCTTTGATAGAGGAAAATGTTTCATGTAAAACTAGGTATAGGAGGGAAAACAAGGAGAAGCCACTGGGTTATAAACTAAGAGCTGATGAAATAGGGATTTTGCTGTGTGCTCCCCCAAATACCTGGATCCAGACAATTATCCAGACAAAATCCAAAATATATGAGTTCAGACAATTTAGGATAGACCTGCCTGAGGAAAAATAAGTACAGATTTGGTAGGAATTTATTAGTACAACTATGTTTAATCAAGACAATAGGATTTCCTAGCTCATTCTTCCTTTCCTTTTTTCATCTGTTCTTAAACTGGCTCCATTCAAGATAAGCACAGTCTTAGAAAACAATAATGGACACAATAGAGATTGGAAAATATAATGTAATAAAATGAAAAAAATCCTTACAACATTAAAATGGAGAAATAATCAATATGTAGACAACCTATATCAGTAGAAAAATGATACAAGGAGATAGAGTTCAGACTATATTTATCTATAATCTCAGAAATTATGGACAACAAAAGCTTTCCTATCTGAAGAAGAGCAAGAAAAAGTTGAATAAAAAATCCAAAGAAGGCCAGGCACATTGACTCACATGTGTAATCCTAGCACTCTAGGAGACCGAGGTGAGAGGATTGCTTGGAGGTCAGGAATTTGAGCTCTATCTTTACCAAAAATAGAAAAACTTAGCCAGGTGTGGTGGTACATGCCTATAGTCCTGGCTATTCAGGAGGCTGAGGCAGGAGTATCATTTCAGCCCAGGAGTTTGAGGTTGCAGTGAACTGTGACGATGCCACTGGACTCTAGCCAGGGCAACAGAGCAAGACTCTGTCTCAAAAATAAATAAATAGAAAAATAAAAAAGAAAGAAATCAGAAATCCAAAGAACACTTCCTGAAATTAAGAACACCTTGAATTCATAGCATAAAAAATACTGATTAACCTATACTTAGCCATATCCTGTGATATTACTTAATACAATAGATGAAGATAGATTTAAATGGAATCCAAGCAAAGTAAACAAGTCACATACAAGGACAGAACAGTATTCATTCGCTTTTTATCACTGCCATACCCAATATCAAAAGTTGGTGGAGCAATTTGTGCAGAGACCATTGAGAAAATACATTATCTCCTAAAAGTTTTAAAGGAAAGATTTGGATCTAGAGATCAATCATTACATTTTGGAGCATAAGAATAGAGGGTTGCAGAAAGGGTACTTTCAAAAATACCAAGTAAAACATTTATTACCTGATAATTTTAATAATATCACAAAAAGTTTTAGAGCTCTATGAAAGTTAGTGAGTGATTTGTGTTCAGTACAGAGAAAACTAAAAAAAGAAAAACTCCTTAAGGAAAAAAACTTAAGGAAGAATAAAAAGTTGTATAAGAAAGAAATATGGCTGTACAATGTGGGTCAGTTGCAAATAATATTTACATAACCATATTAATTTAACAATAGATATTTATTTCACCAAAAAATTTTTAGTTAACAACTCTGGGAATTTGAGAGGAAGAGAAATGTGTGTGTGTGCATAGTATGTAGCAAAAAAGTGCTAAATCTTCCATAGTATGAAGTCCACAGACAGTATCTTAAATAAATAAATATCAGTATAATAAAACCATTAAATATAAAAGTGTGTATGTACAAGTATATGTATATGTATATATGTGCATACATATGTTTATATCTATAT